TGTCAAATGCATCTTGGCCGAAGAGAAATAAAATCTTGAGACGTGGGCCGAGCTGGACTTATACTTTCGCTGTTATTTACGACCACATACTAATTTTCGAATCTTCAAAGCCATAAAGATTAGAGGGAGACGGAGCTGGGAGCTGGTCAAGTACCGCTAGAATGAAGTTTGCGCGCGCCAAAACAATTCCACAAAACCGACAACAAGAATCGCAAAAAGGAGCCAAGACGTTGCAGCCTGGCAACAAATTCGCATGACTTCCGTCATTGACATACAACATGACAGTTGATTTCTGTATTTGATATCCCAGCGAATTTACCACTGTCTTTCGTGTGTGTGTGTATATTGGGAAAAGACTCCAAAACACACAAAAAAATAAGCAAAAGAATCTCTTGAGGAAAATGTGTGATGAGTGCCAGCCAAGTCCAGAAAGACAGGAGACTCCCGGAGTCATCTTCTTGGCCATGTGCTGTGTGCAGTTAAAAGAACATTTCGCTGTGCCCCAGCAGTGGCATCTGAAAACTGGGAGACTCTCGTCGGGCAGTCTTCGGGAACCGTTAAATGGTACAATATTGAAATTTATTTTTATGCTGATGATGATGATGATGATGACGATGAGCATCATCATTTGGCTTTTGTGGAACCGGTTGCTATGGCCCTGCTCCTGGCCATGCCAATGCCATCCATTGCAAAGTTGCCCGTTTGCCTGTTTGCCTGGTTCCCGGGAACGCTGTGTTTTGCCGTGTCCCAATGCCAATTGGCCAAATGTCAAAGCAACGCAAATTCATCATCAAGACAGTGACAGCAAAGCCAGAATGGCAGAGGAATACTGGATGAACTTTAAATATGATGGGAATTTGGGAAATGAGGAATGATGTGGAATTTTGGCATTGAGAATAAGGAATGACTTGAATTTTCAATTAAATCTTATGGATATATATCTAGTCATGGTAACTTCAAAAGTCTTTTCGTTTAGGTTAGTTTCAGGATAAAATTAATCACATTTCTCGATATAAAATCAGGAATTAAAATCTATTTAAGAACATATTTCCAAAACTAGAACAAGAACGAGAGTTCTCCTTTATTCTTTTCATATCATCAAATTTCGGGCTCTCAGTTCAGCAAGTTCAGTGGAAATATGCACATTAACCCATTCCTGGGTGCCATGTGTCCCACAACCCGCACAGTGGCTACAAAACATAACCAATCGAGAAGAATTGGTTGTTAGACGGTTAGCTAGCCGGCTAGCTAGCCACTGCGTGCTACTTATCGCCGTCACTTGGCCAAGAAGTCGAGGTGGAGGATGAAAATTCAAGTATAAATTACCAAACCAAGCAAAGAACCTGCTACCAAGACTTATGACCGTATTTGATATTGCCTAATGGTCTGCTGGCTGTTTGGCTGCTTGGTTGGTTTTTCTATTAAATGTTTTTCTCTTTCTGCAGCGCTTTAAGGAGAGAAGCAGCAACTTGGCTACTTTTCAACTAGAAGTAGGAGTTGTTGACTGGAATTGCTCAATTTGTGTGTGCAGCAGCAGCAGCAACAGCAACAGCAGCAGTCGCACAAACAAAGCCAAACAACAAGCCAAGTTAGATGACGATGCTGCTGGTGAATGCTGACGTACATTCGAAGCTCGTCCGCCTCACAGGCCGGCGTCTTGCCAATCGAATTCTCTTGGCTTGGTGACGGCATTTCCAGCTAACATTGTTGTCCCAAACAGCGGCAACACCAACGTAGCGCGTAAACCAACAGCAACAAACAGTAACAACAACCATGGCCACAACTTGGCAATTGCAAGTTGTATAATTTATTTATTTTTCCTATTTTTCTTCTATTGTGGTTATACACTTGTTAGAAAAACGGGCATTGCTAGCTATCAGTGGAGTTTAGGTTTTAAAAAATAATAGTAATAATTTAAATGAATATCACTTTTAAAGGATAAAATATTTTAAAAAGTTATTTTGATAAATTTAACCTGTACAATATTTTCATTTTAATACAAAAACCAGAAAATCTTAATCACCTAAAAATAGCAACTCAATGCTCTATAATTTGCAATATTAATCAGATTAGTTTCTTAGTTTTTTTTAGTATTTTTTCGCTGTTAGTGTAATCAATTTGCGTCAAACTTTTGTAATTAAGTCAGCCGCCTATCTATTCCTACTCTATTCTGCTATTTTTTGCTGTTCGAGTCATTTTCAATTTTAAATTGTACAAAAAACACTGGGGGCTGCCTCTGAGCCTGGCGTTGTAGTTGCTGCTGTAGATCGATTCAATGAATTTAAAATGCATTTAACTTGAAATTTAGGTCAAAAGTTGTTGCTGCTGTTGTTGCAATTGCTGCTGCTGCGGCAGTAGATGTTGCAGTAAGGCAGCCGGTGTAAAGCTGCTACTACTGCAGTATCCACTGCACGTTCATCAAGTCTGAAATATTCTTTGGCTGGCATTTGGAAAACAACTTGCGAGTTAGAATTGTTTTTGCCATTTTGCAGTTAGACGACTGACTGGTTTTTTGACTTGGCTATTAAATTGCGTAGTCCCGGAAAGTTGGCAAAGTGCGGCAATGCCCTATGCTATCCTATGTCTTCTATTCCCCACTCCCCGCTTTCCATTCTAATTGCAAGCTTTTACCCCCTTTCTATCGACAATGAAACTCTGGTGGAATTACTTAAAACTAGTTTGCCACTTGTTGCAATTGCGATTGCGATTTGCGGTTCGTAAATATTTATGAGTTTTCAACTGGCCAATGGAATCAAGTTTCCAGATTTGCCGGCATCCTAAGATACCGTGAAAATCTTAATCAAACAAATAATTCGCTGATTTTCCAGGTGAAAATCATCTAATTAGATGAATTTCAAGTTCTATTTGTCTTGGCCAGACTTGAATGTAATATATCAAAGCTAATTAGTCGACATCTGGCTACTGTGGATGATGCTGCTGCTGCTGCTGCCTGCCTGCATTTACCAACTTTCACACTTTCCATTTTCACACTCGGAAATTAATCAAAAGAAAAATTAAGCACAGGCGACTCTTATTTATTTAAACTTTTTTGTTGTTTAGCTTTTAGTTTGTTTTGGTTTTTGATTCGCTGGAATGCTTTGAAACTATAACAAATATTTTTATTGTAAATTGTTTTGGGCCTTAAATGGGGTGAGCGGCAAACAGAAACAAAAACAATACAATGGGCATTGTGGCCAAGTGGAAAATAAAACAAAAGCCATTGAAACTAAATAATAAACAGAAAAACAAAAGTAATGGGAATGGATTTTAGTAGTAAAAGAATTAGAGATGAGCTATATAGAAAGATTGTTAGATATTTCCAAATTTCATAGTTACAAGAACGTATTTATCAAAAATTGTTAAATAAATAATACTATAATTGAAGGTCTATATTTATGATCATATTTTCTATATTTTACATCAAAGCAAATCTTTATTCCTCAACCAAAAGATAGGTTCCCCTTTCAGGCTTTTTACAAATTTGCTAAACAAAAATATTTATTTATTTATTCCACCTGGAAAGCTTTTGCGTCACCTGGAGTTGTACCTCGACGAAGTTGGGCAGCTTTGAGGCGTTCCATAGATCACTGCACATATGCATTTGTGGGATCTGCCCCCGCCACCCTATATATCCCACTCTCACATCAGCTAACTGCGGTTTTCACCAGAACTCTTTGTTCAATGGGAACAATGCTTTGAACTGTTACCGAGTCCAACCAGAAAACCAAAAAAAAAAAAAAAACATCTCGTAAATGGGTTGAGATTCGGGGGCGTTGTCGTGTGGACAAATGTGTTTTGTGTCGAATCCCAAAAGGCCAACTGGGTCAGTCACACTAAACCAAAAAACAAAAAACGAAAAAAAAACCAAAATGTGGCTTATATATAAATGAAAAGTATTCCAGAAAGAAGAAAAACTTTCTCGCACTTGAATCTAATGGCCTGGGATGTCTGGAATACCTTAGGAATTCTGGCCTGCAGAGCAGGAAGTAAAGATGGAGGAATCAAACGGAGACAAGATCACTTTTCTGGACTTGCATTATCAAAAAACAAAAAGAATGGGGGACTAGGCAATGGACTGCACCGACTTGTCAATCAAGCGATTGACTTTTGCACAAAATCCGCAGACAATCTGGATGCCAATGGAGTAGAGAAGACCACGACGACGACTACGACGATGATGATGATGATGATATCTAAGCTGGGCTCAGCTCTCCACAGACCACATCGAACGGATCGAAGTATCCAGTATCCAGTGACCAGGTCCTCCCAACAAGCCTAGCGTAGTTGTGGCATTTCAGCTTGGCCTTAAGCGAAAAAATTATTCCTTTGCCTAATTTGGTTTAAATGGAAATTCCGCACACCATATTGTACCAAGGACTTTAAATGACTGAACGACGACGACGACCAAGACGACTGCCCAATGGAAGGGCAGGGCAATGCCAAAGACTTGAGGTTCGTGTCTTGTTCTAAGTGAACTATTTTTGGTATTTCTCCTCTTAGCGGAACGTTTGCGATTTGGTTTGGGTCCTCCGACCAAAGGGGCCCAAATTGATCTGGGGATGCGTCCAATCACTGCGAAATGATTTACGATCACGATAAAGAGATTAGTGCTGGCCAGACTTCGGTTTCAGTGGAAAAAGCGAAAATAAATGAGTTTGGCAATCAAATCGAAATCAAGAATGTTTTTCACTTCTAGAAAACTTGTAAGAATGACTGAAATATAGGCTATAAAAACGAACTGATTCGCAGTTCATGTCAATAAAATTAATTGAACTTGATCTTAAATATAATATAAATCTAAGTCATAGGAAGTTTATTTAACAAATGTGCAGTAAGGAAACTTGTTATACCAAAATATGAACAAAGGCCAAGACAAACGATCTCTGGCGAAGTGAAAACAAGTTTCGTATGCAGATCTTATCTCGATTTAATTAAGTTGATATATTAACCATTAACCAGTAGTAGTTGCATATAAACTAGTAAATTAACTTGTTCAGATGTTAAGTTTTCCAATAGTTTATTAAAAAACTGTATTACAGGGCCTAAGATCGTATATTTATATAACTTAACTCATTTTTTAATCCTTTCTCTGGCAACTCATCCTCGGACTTACGATAAATTCGCTGCAATAAGCCGGATTAAATATAGCAGGTCGAGTCAAAGACCAATAAAAATGCATTTAATCCCCCAACCATATAATTTATAACATTCGCCGACGAGCCAAAGGCAAAAGGCAAACAAAAGTAAAAGTACAGAGGTCCCCGCCGCAGAGCCTATAAATACCGCATACTATATGGTTTTGGGCCTGGAAACCCCAATGAGATTGAGATACCTTCACATATATAAAGATATATATACTGGAAATATATATATATATAGGGACAGACACAACAGAGACTGCAACGACGCATGTGGCATGGGGCACATTTGAACTTTAACACACGACCGAGCCACAATAAAAATTTCAAGTTTGTCCAAGAGACATATGGCCAAAGATCCCCTGATCCGCGGGGTCAACGTTATAAAATCGCAAGCGGCAGCAACAGCCATGGCAACCAAAAAGAAGAAAAAATAAACAAAATGAAAAAAAAACAGAAAAAAAGGCAGCAACAAGCAAATAATTTATGACCAACTTGATGCATGGTGGCCATTTAAGTTATGGACTTCTCCGAAGGGAGCCGACGGCGGGGTGTGAACTGCCCGATCAGCAATTTCAATTGCAACTGCAATTGCAGCATATATAACAGGCTATATATATAAATATATATATCTATCTATATATACGTATAAACAAAAAACAGATGACGCATCGTCTGCGTCTGCAATGAATGCACTTTTTCTGCAATTTGACTTTCGTCTAGAGGCAGTCCACAGCCCAAGCAGACGAAGCGGATCGTAGTTTGGGGATCGGAAATCGGGAATAGGGGGAACGTTTTATTGTCTTTGTTGTTGGTTAGTTGTCAAAAGTCAGCGGATGAAAGGGGTCCAAACTGACAGACACAGCTGGCCCGGCCCCTCTTCTCTCTTAGCCAAAATCTAGTCAGCCTTATTTCCAAGTGGGCGTGCCAGACTTTACTTAGACGCACTCAAAATTTCGTAAGACAACAATGTTGAGAGAAATATATTACGAAAAGTTTTCAAGGAGCGGTCGAAAAACGAAGAGGGATGCCCTTCAAAGAAATTTTTCTTTTTGAAAGTGAAAAGTGGGAAAACAAGACTTACAAGATAGATTAAAAATGTTATTAAAAGTGTATAGATATAAGCACAAAAGTATATCAGATTAGTTAATATAAAAGCATTTATAACAATCTGTACAAAAATATGTAATAAAATAACTCAATTTTAAGCCTCATGGAAAATAAAGATCAAATAATTTCCTAAAAATATCATCTCTTAGGAAATATACAAACTTAGAGAATATGAAAAACTGTGAGTTTTTAAATTTCCAAAACGATTACAAAATATATATACTTCAGCCACAGATCAAGCGAACTTAAACATGATTAATGGGTCGGTGTCCAAGGGATTTAGTAAATGACTCGTCATCCGCCTCTTCAGCCTCATTTTGCTTCTTTAATTTTGGGTTAATTAGCATATACGCATAAATGCATTTCACCGAAATCTGAAATCTGTGTCACCCGAAATGATGGGGCTGAAATCTTTCTTTTGGCACCAGAATCGTGCCCAAGAAATTTACCCACCAGCAAAATGTCTGTCCAATAAAAATAAACAGCTCAGAGCCGCAGAAAACAAAACAAAAAGGCGAAAATGCGGGGAAAAATGCACATTGATGTTAATTATTTTGGCAGTTGAATGCAACAGCCAACCGCCAGCAAAATGTTTATTTTTATAATTCTCCTTCTCACTGTAAAAATGGGCGCAAAGTGCATATTAAAATGTCAGTCGAAAGACAAAGATTCAGAGGACAGGCTGCAAGCTGCACAGGTTAAAGAAATGAAAATACAAAATAAGAAGCGCTACTTTTCAAAATTACCCAACTGCCAAGCTGAATTTTCGCCAAATTTGCCAAATTTGGCTGGAACAAGGCAAAAATTAAACGACACAAAAAACCGGAGAACAAATAAATAAACAAATTCAGTGCTGTGTTGAGTGCTGCTGCTGCTGCTCACTGAGAAAACAGTCGGTTCAGCAGAAAAAATATTTATACCAAAAAACCGTTTTTGATGCAAGATATCAAGTTGTGTCTCGACTACTCCGGCTGCCGAAGTCAAGATGGCTGGCCAAGCCAATGGGTTGGGCCCTGGCCAAAGTAGACCCATTGTCGACATTCATCTGTCCGTCTGTCTTTATTGGCGGCCTCTCTGGAGCGGGCCAATTAACCCTTATGCCGGAAAGATCCTAAAAATTTAATTTCATTTTTGAGCTGCACTCACACACAACATGACAAATGATGTGAAACATTAAGATTAATGGTTGATTTTAAGTTTAAGTTTAATTTTAAGAATGCAATTTAAAGGTCTGAATTTGTATACAGTTTGGTTTTAATTTAAAACTGCTTAATATAAATATTCATGTCTACAAATTCTTGGCCATTGTTGGGTTAAGGCATTCCTTTTGGCTAGTCAAAAGACAATCCGACAATGTCGTAACTTGGCGCTAAGTTAAGCGGCTATGAAAGCCAGTTACTCCACCTCCTGATCGTGTCGCTTTTGTGGCCAATTGGCCCGGTGGCAGTTCCAGTTTTTAGCTGTTTTGTTTTTTGTTTTTTTTTTTGTTTCTTAGTTGTTGCCAGGAAAAGAAGCCAAGAGCACTAAGAGCCAAGAGAAGAACTGTAGAGTCCGCTCATCAATTGACAGGTAACCGCTACGCTTTGGACATTGATATGATTAGCGACTTTTAATTTAACGCTTCTCTGAAGCGCGTTAGAGCAGCAAGACCCAGGATGACTTCGACTATGACTCCTCTGGGGCAGATCAGATCTGGAGTTTGCATTTCCGCAACCAAATGCAACACAAAGTTGTACGTGTATACGGAGAGTCGCGTAACCAAAACCCTGACCAGACCCAGACTCTCGGAGTCGTAATTTGTCAGCTTTTAGTAATAACTTTGGACATTTACCGTAAGCGACAGCGATCGCGATAAGTTTTCAACCTGTTGTCTTGGGGCAGCTCGGGCTCAGAGCTGGTGCTCTCCTGGAGCAGATAAAAGACCAGATAGCCACGATCCACGGATCCACCGATCCACCAGATACTTTCCGAGTCCGAACTGCGGCGCCTAATTGATTTTCGCATGCGACGTGACGGCCTCTTTGGCCAGCCTTTCGGTATTTTCGCTTGTGATTTTCTTATTTGGTGGCATAATTATTGTCATTCATAAATTGTGGGCTCGTTATCTATAGGCCAAGTGAGTGGACTTCATTGGCCTGGTCTGGAGTGGACTGGAGAGTAAAGTGAAGTGGCTCGGTGCGGGAGATAAATGTGCAAATGATTTGCCAACTGAGATTTATGCCAGCAACGGCTCTTTTTCTCGCTTTTTATGGACTGCCATAAAATGTTCCAGTCAACGGAGCTAACTCCTCTCACCAAAACAAAACCAAAAGAAGACAAGAATTTTTAATTCGCTGTCGGGTGCAGGAGTTTGGGCCAAAGACAGTTACGGTGTCTATGAACTTTAGTTTAGGCAAAGAAAGAACTTACATTCTTCTCAGAAATTTCTTTTGATTAATAGTAGAAATATTAAAAGAAAATGTTTAATAAATATTAAAATGTATTTAACCTTTTCTACGTTGGAAACGTAGTAAATGAAAAAAAACTCTGCAACTTTACTTTGGCTTACCCTTAAATAACCATTTCCCTTTCTACCTTCTTGTCAGCCTATAATTTGCAACCTACCAACATGATTATAGCATTTTCTGTGCGAAAAACCAAAGACAACCAGTTTGTTTAAGTCCCCATTTCTGTGTCGGTGGTTATCGTTGAAAGCTCATCTCGATTACACAATTCTCTGCCCAGCACAAAAAAACCGAAATTGCAATTGTTGCAACTTCAGACTGGAGGGTAAACATTTTGTAAATATTTGCTGCATGTGAGGCTTTCTTATTTATTGAGTTCGGCAGTTTTTTGTCTGCTCTGCCCGCTGCCCGCTGCTGGCTGTTGCATTTTGTATTTTTTGGCTTAAAGTCTTGTTAATTTCAATGTGAAAAAGAAGTCAAGTGAGGTCGAATCTGGGTATGAACATTTAGTCGTTGAGGCTAATAACAACAACCTCGAAAAGAGTCTGCGACCCATTGCGGTGGGTGAGATGTTGTGGGTTTTGCTTCTCGTTTTTTTCCCCTCTTCTTTTTTTCTTCTTGTCTGAAAACTTTTTAAATTGTTTTCCAGCTTGTTTTTGCCGCTTGTAATTGTTGTTATTATACAATTTGCAAAAAGCGGCAAAAAATGCCAATAACAATGTTAACTGCTAAGCAACAATAAAACTTTACAACCAGTGGCTGTTTTTTATATTTGTTTTTTGTAGTTTTTTGTGGTTTACTTCTTATTGCATATTTGACATTTCACTTGTGCAGCTGTAATAGTTGCAAGTTGCAAGTTGCAACCGAGGGGTAGCTTGAGTTTTATTTATTTACTTTTTTATGTGGATTTCAATGATATTTTGTCGAGATTTTTCATGGCAAAATATTTAAGATTTCTGCGATAGATTAAACAAATAGAAAAAAATCAACGACAGGGCCTTTGTATTGTTGTGGTTGTTGCTGTTGCAGTTGCCTGATTTATTGATTTTTCCGAGCAGATAATGTGTGATTTTTCTCATAGACTCTTGCAATTGCAATTGTTGTTGTTATTGTTATTGTTATTGTTTCCTAATGTGAGAAACTTGTGTGTCAAGAGAGCTTTACCTATTGTTGCATAAGCTTTCTGGCGCCTCCCTCCTCTGCTGCTCTGCCCCTCCAAACTCAACCTAACCGAACCCAAAGCCAACCTACGACGACGTCAGTGGAACTTATATCTTATGTGAACTCCAAAAGGCGGTCTCGGCATGCTCGAAAAAACAAAAAATAAGGAATGAAAAGATACAGAAACGTTTTAAACAGGCTAATATGACAAAATTTTCAGACAGCTTGTCTGCCGAGTTGAAAAGTGGGGGGCCCTACAATCGAGGGTGAATTAAGTAATTGCTTTCGTTATAGGGATGATAGTTTCTTTTAATTACTTTATATTATATTTAACCAAGAAAATGTCAAATAAATTTTTAGTATTTAAGATTGTTATTATAATTTTTAAACCATATTTAACTGCATTTTATTGTATTTATTACTATTTAGCCTACCCTTAAATTTAGTACTTAAAGTATTTAAGCCTTGCTCAAGCTATTCAAGCCAACTCATTAAACGCCCCTCGCCACCTGTACAGGGGGAGTAACCCAAGCTGCTGGAAACTATCTTACCTAGCCTGCAGCCAAGTAACGTAAGCGTCGCCAACAGCCACCATAAAAGGTAATTTGCATAATTTCTAATTAAAATATTTTAAACTGGCAAGCCAAAAGCTGCAGCCGCTAAGAGAAGGCAGACAAAGTTCCATTCGGTTTCAGGTTTGGATTTTCTTGCCTTTTTGTTTTGGAAAAACTCTTTTTGGGCGTCTAGATAAAAATTTCAATTAATTTAAATTTGATTTTTATAAGCATTCACCTGCAGGAGAAGACAACGAGCCGACAAACGACTGACCAAAGAAAAAAAATGTTAAAGTCGGTCTATGCATTCGTAATTAATTAAATCGCTTTGAGCTTGATTTTTTTTGTTTTGTT